AGAGCATAGATAATTGTGCAACAATTGATAGACAAGCATTCTTTTATCTCCTCAGGCTTGTGAATACTTGGGATTTTTAAAACAATATTCTTCAGCAAGTATAAAGTGATACCTCATTGTAATTACAATTTGAGGTTCCCTTATAATTAGTATTGCTGAGTCCATTTGAACTTACATGTTGAATCTATTCGGAGGTGTCCTCTGTACGTTTTACAGTGGAGTTGTTTATACTTTGGTATTGGTATTGTATAAATTCTTTATGTATTTTGGTTATTAATCATTTATGAAGTATATAGATTGCAAGCATTGTCTCCCATGAAATTTTGTTGTTTCCTTTGCTGTACAAAAATTTTTAGTTTTATTTAGTTCCAGATGTCTACTGGTGCTTTTTTTGCTTGGGATTTTGTTATTACAGCTAAACAGTTATTGCCAAGACCAGTGTCAAGTTTTCCCCTTATGTTTCTTGCTAACTGTTTTACTATTTCAAATTTATATTTAAGTCTTTAACCAAATTTTGGTTGATTTTCATGTATGTTGTGAAATATAGTTCAAATTTGATGGAACATTCTTGAATGTTAATGCACAGTATTTAAAACATTATTTGTTAAAAAGACTATCTTTTTCCTTTATATGTTCTTGGCAATTTTATTGATGATCAATTAACTATAGACGTATGACTTTATTTCTGAGTTCTCTATTCTGTTGTGTGTCTGTTTTTTAACAATATTATCGGACTGATTGGTTATTATAAAGTTGTACTACAATTTGAAATCAGAAAATGTGATGGTGTCAGCTTTGATCTCAACATCTATTGATTAAGGTAGCTCATGAGTTTTTCATATAGAGTTGTATTGAGTTAAATTCCTTTTACACCTTGTTTTTGAGTCTTTAAATTATATTGTACTTTTTGAGTGCATTTTGCTGCATCTATTGAACTGGTCATGTGGTCTTTATCTTTCATTCCACTGGTTAAGTTGCATATGTTCAACAATCCTTTTATTTCAGAAATGAATCCCCCTTGTTCACGGTGATTGATTCTTTTAGTGTACTGTTGAATTTAGTTTGCTAGTGTTTTATCACATTCATTATTAATGTAATTAGTTCATTATACACAATAGTCACATGTCAAATATATTGCACTGAAGCTGTCAAAAATTTTGTAGTTAGGCAGACTAGTTTGAATCTTACTTTTCTCCTCACTAGTGGTATGAGCTTGGGTTGGTTAAATTAACTCCATAATTCTTAGTGACTTCATAGACCAAATAATCTACTGCTTAGGAGCTCTGTATGAAAAAAAGTTAACGTGTGTAAAACTTTTAGCTCAGTACCTTGTACCTAATAAATGTTCCTCATATAAAAGCTAATATAGTTGTTATTTCTCATACAACTTCTCGTATTTGCCAACATCTTAAGGTCTGTGCTGAAACCTGCAGCACTTACGAGTAGAAAGAATCTGTACTGTGTTTGAATATCACCCTTCCCTCACGCTGCAACCAAATACAGTAACAGCGGCAATGAAATCAGCCTTTTATGCCTTATGGTTCTCCACTTCGATTGTCAGATTCATCTCCCAAACTCTGACCCACTTATACTTAGTAGACAGCACATACTGAAGGAAGACACACTGTCCTGGAATCAGAGTTCACACCATATTAATCAGCTCCACTTGAGCCCATGAGTTTATGGTGAATTCTAGGGTTCTGACTCTGATTGTTTTACCTAATCTTCCAGTATCCCTCCATTTCCTCTTGAGCTGCTTTCCTGGATGTGCAGTCTGAGAGTAACTGAAACTTACATGACTAATCTACTCACAATCTTTGCAAAACTATTTGTAGTGATTCAGATAATTTTTAATGATTTCATACAATGTAATTTGATTATACTAAAACCCCTCCCCACCACCCTCTACCATACTAATGTGCCACCACACCCAGCAAGATAATTTTTTTGAGACAGGGTCTCTCTGTAGCCCCAGACTGCCTGGAACTCATTATGTAGACCAAGCTAACCTTGAACTCACAGAGATATGCCTGCTTCTGCCTCCTGAGTGCTGGGATCAAAGATGTGCGCCACCACACCTGGCCTCTATTACTATTTTTTGAAGGCCTATCAAGCCTAATTTCTGTTCCCCGAATGCTCTTGGGTGTGTGCCCATCCTTGGGGCCTGGTCAACTTACCTTAAAGAAAACTTACTCTCCCTCTCCTAGCAGCTATCAATTGCCAATAGATCCTCAGTTCTTGCCCACCTCTCCTATCCTTGCTGGGTTTTTCTCTGATTTGAGCTTACGAAGGACTTGTGTATGCTGTTACAAGTGCTGTGGGTTCATACATGCAACTTCCCTGTTGTGTCTAGAAAACAGTTTTCTTATACTCATCTGCAATTGCTGACTCTTAAAATCTTGCTGCCATTTCTTCTGCAATGGCTCCTGAGCTTTGAAAGAAGAGGGTGTGATATAGTGTCCCACTTAGGGCTGAGCACTTCGAAACCTCTTATTCTGTGCATGCTGATCAGTTGTAGGTCTCTGTGTTGATTGCTATTTGCTGCAAGAAGAAGCTTCTCTGGGTAAGAGCTGAGGGATGTGCTAATTTATGGGTATAACAGTAAGTTATTAAGAAATAGTTTAATACTAATGTTCATTTAGTAGAATGATAGTAGCAGGTTCTCCCCTATGGCCTGTGACCTTGTCTACCCAATGTTCTTGGCCTTGATAACAGTGTCAAGTATGGGTGCCATCTTGTGAAGATGGCCTTAAATTTAATCAGAATATTGTTGGTCACTCCCATAACATTCATGCCACTACTGCACGACTGGGTATATCTTGTCAGGTAGTTGTTATTGTAACTCACATCGTTCACAGCTTGGTGGGGCTGATGATTACTCTTCTCTTTTGGTAGCATGCGTAATCTTTTGCTATCACTTTAGAATTGAAAAAAAAGTTTTTTTTTAAACAGTCCTTCTCTACAAATGTAACAATAATTTAAATAGCAAAAATGACACAAATTTAAAAATA